TAGTAGGTTCAAAGAGACTTGGACGACGTAGTCGGAGGCACACTTATTTATTAACCGTTCCACTCTATACAGGCCAAGGTATACAACACTCGAAGAGGTATCGGCCCCTTCACCCGTCTAACAGGGAGATCCCACGATCTCTATCCCGGCTAGCCTACTCCCAGGTCCTCCACTACAGAGCTAGAGGAGGCTAGCTGATCCAGCTCTGGCCAAGCTGGGATCACGGCACCCTGAGTCACCAGACCGGCTCTTACAAGAACATCGGCTCTGGCTCTCGGGGCCACGCCACTGGCTTGCCCTGGTCGGTCCTTAGAAGGACGGCGATCCAGGGCAGCCTCAGGGCCTACCTAGCCGGTCTTCCTTCTTCACTGGTTTAAGCTAAACACTGAACCCCGAGCCCACCGGCTCACCGACTTATATAGCAACTCCCCCCCCCCTGAGGGGTGGGGCCGTGAAGGATCACAGCGCAGTTTCAGCCCCCCAGGCTAAACGGTGCGGACGTGGATGTAAGCATCCTTCCGCGTGTGGGGTGTTTGTTCGCCCTCCCGTAACACCTCTACACATGCGAGTCGGGGACGGAAGAAATGTCATACGCCGTCGCGACGGCTATTCCAAGCAGCCCTGGTCGATACGAATTTTCAGGGGCATCTTGGCGAGAAAATCAGTCCCTAGCAAGCACGGGACAGCCAGGGCCGTGGAAACCAAAACATGGCCCGACAATTGGACATCGGCAATGCACAACGCAACAGAGATCCGACCGATTATCCCCAATCATCCGCCGTTAGCGGTGAAACATGAAGCATCCACCGGCTCCAAAACCGCCTCTGATCACCCCGCCACGTCGGCATTAGTGAGAAATCACCACTTAAATGCCACCCAATCGCCGCTTGCGGCAACAAATTATTTAATGAAGGGCAGCTGATGGCGGAGCGACTGGACGTCGAATGACGAGGACGTCCCCGCTTTTAGCTTGGCGGGCTCTGCGCTTCCCGCCGGCGGCAAAATGGCACCCGCGAGCACGGGCAGCGGCGATGACGTTTCCGCCTTTTGTGAAATGGCGGCCGAGTCGCCCCGTCCGGATGGCTCCGCTGCCCCCCCTTGGTCGTCGAGGGTAGGGACCGCATCTCGACGAGGATGGAGGACGCCACTTGGAGGTCAGCGAGACAGCCGTGCGCGTCCCTGATGAGCTCCGCCACCGAAGGCGAGGCACTCCGCGCCCTGACTGCGCTCTGCTCCGCGGGCAGGGTCTCCGCTCCTTCCTCGACGGCCATGGGTGGAATCAGTACCTCATCGTCCGACGCACGTACACAAACTTTGCGACGTGTAGACATGACTTGTCTACCACTGGCTACATCCTAGCAAGTTGGCCACTTCCGACACCATTTGTAATATGGCCAACTGAGTCGGAGACGTTAGCTTAGGAGTGTAATAAAAGACTCTTCAAACAGTGTAGGTCTCCGTTGTCCTTTATTCGGGCTCTTGTCCCTCTCGCCCCTACGGCGTCCTCGCTCAGACCCGCACCTCCTCCACCGTGCACCCTGCAGCCACACTGCTGCTCCGCTCCGCAGCCACACCGCTGCTCCGTCTGCAGCCACACCGCTGCTCCGCTCTGCAGCCACACTGCTGCTGTGTGCCCCGCACACTCTGCTAGCTCTTCACGCCCGGCTAGCTTCCCACACTCCACTAGCTCTCCTCCGCTAGCTCTACTCCACTAACTCTAGCCCACTAGCTCTGCTGTGCCCCACGTACAGCGCTGGCCGACGGTGCCGTGGCCTCCCACCACGTGGCAATCACGCCACCCTCTCGCCACTGCCCAGCGTGGCCTCCTCCTGTTTCCACTCCTTCTCAACTCCCAGATCCCTTCCGGTTCTCCCCCTAAATGCTCTCTCTCACGTGACCCTGACTCCTCCTTCTCCTCACGTGACCCAGACTCCGCCCCCTCTTTCCTTGCTCGCATTACAGGAGCAACACTATTTATTTACACAACGGTACGTAACATAACACAATCTACACTCGGGTCTCGACTGCCCATCTAACCATGCTACGGCAGAACTAGACACGGTTCGCTATCCAGGTCCCGACCACAAACGGGGTCCCGGACCGCGTGGCTAGAGGCTTCTTCTCCCCTGGCTGGCTGACGCTCCCTCTCGCTCCTTGACCAGGAGCCCGCACCACACACTGCTCGCAGTGCCACTGCGCTAACCAGCGCTCACCCAAGCCCCGCTAGGGCTGGTACTACATCCCGTAACCCGGGCTGCCCATAATGACAACACCTTACCCGCCGTGGCTTCGTAAGCCCCGCACCATACAGTGACAAGCACAGTCACTACATGTGTACAAATGTAGGGAGCTATAAATCCAGCAACCCGAGTTTGATTCCTGCTCACGGCCAACACCAGCTACGATTATCCGAACCGGTCCTGGGCTTCCCCTAGGTCGACTCAGCCCCAAACGAGTACCTGGCGCGATGTGTAAAAACATCGCCACTAGGGAGACAAAGGCGGCTGGAAAAGGTGCTGGACACCCACCCCCTTGTGTGCCGTTCCAGCCTTCATAGGTGCTCGCTAATAGCGCTTATCCCAACCCAACAATCTGTTCAGGCTATATCGGGGACCTTTCCCTTTTCACTGAGGTTGTGTGTAGCTCTCCCCAGCGGGACATTGAGTGCAGCATCGCACGACACGCCGTCGCAGGAGCGCCGACACCAGCATCGACGCCGAGGATTGTTAAACTCTTTAGTTCTCTTATTAACTCGTCGCTCAACACATGCCGTGAGACACGGCGGGACACGGACGAGATGTGCGGGCAGCAGCCTCGCTTGAGCCGGAAAGGCCCAAGCAGTGACCTTGGCACCCAGCCACACCCGTCTCGCTGCCTGATAATCTGTTCAATGTCTATAAACCTGGTCATATTATAGGAATATAATGTATGCAATAATATACTATGCCCAGACGTAGCTTGTAATCGCACCTCCGATTAGCAGTTAGCTACATATGGTGCAAAAGAAGTTCTACATACATATATATAATCGACGCGTTATAGTTGTAGTTCCTTAAGCCAATAATCCCTACTCTGAGGGAACCTAAGCACCATTGTGGAAACTGTCGAGTGACAAATGAAACAGTGTGTGGGTTAGTTAACTACACCATGAGGGGATCGTCATCGGGCTGCGTCTCCCCAAGTTTCAGAATAACGGTGAACTTGCAATCTGCACAGGAGTCACTCACTCCTGCAGAGAGAGCAAGAAGCCAACTTGAAAGAGCGAGGAGGAACCACAGATGAGCGGGAAGGCAGCAGCAGCCACGTGGTGATGAGCCTATGCCGAATTTACCCTCCCCCAAGCTCGGTGTGCTTTCATATATTAAGGTATTATCAGTCAATTAATAACATGGAGGAAACTAAGGCGTCTGTGATGCCGCCGCCACGAAGCCGTTCGGCAGGCGCCCAAATCCCCGACCTCGCCACCACCAAGCAACGGAGCCAACCCCGCGTCCCCCTCGCCTCACCTCACACGAACACACCCGCACGCATTTTCCCCCACCCATAGAGCTGGACGGGGAGGTTACCTGGCCGACCGGTTTTTATCCGAGAAACCCTTATCGGGGTTAACACTCACGGTTTCCGGCGATCAGGGAATTGGACGACCTCCCCCGTGCTACGTTGCGCCGCGGCGCTGCGACCAGCCTTAATATGGTGTGGTCGCGGCATGGGGCATTCAGCCACCGCGGTTGAGGCGCATTTTCCCCCCACACACACCCCCACGGGTCGACGAGACAGGCGGAGGAGGGAGGGGACAGCATGAATAGCGGGACCGCATGGGCTCTGGCGGATAGTCATGGAGGGTTGGGATCATTACGCTTCAGCGCGCAGGCCCCATTGTTAGGAAGGGTAAGGGATTAATTAGGATTTACGCCGCGCACGCCGCTCACTGATTAGCAGATCAAAAGCACCCGGAACCGCCGTGCGCGGGCTCGAGGTGCACGAGCCCATTGTTCAGCGCAGCATCCCTTTGAGGTAGGGAGGATAAATAGGGGGGCGCAAAGGGGAAATCGCTCTCTTCTCTCCAGGCCAGCAGACCAGCAGCAGCTCCAGCCAGCGACTCGGACGTCCGTGCGACGCATCGAGGTGCGCTGTTAGCACAGGGAGCAGCGAACCACCGCGGGCACCAAACAGTGAGTGGGGAGGTGAAGTAGGGTATCGTAAGCCGATAAATAGGGAATAGGTACAGGTTTAGTGGAATAGCCCAGCCTCGTTGACTCACTGATTCAACATCAATTCGCAGGTAGCATATAATAAATCATTAATAGCGAAGCGTGGTCTCGCGTGATCTTGTCGTGCAGTGTCGCGTGGGGAGCTGCGTGTGTGTGCGTGCGTCCACCCCGGGTGCGATACAGGTGCGCGATCATAACGTGAGTGGAGTTTGAGTGCGCGGAGCGGCGGGTGTGTGGGAGTGCGCATACGTTCGTTACGTGTCGGATACGGATGCGCATTGGTAACGTGCCGCACAGGGCTATAGGCGGGCACACGCTCGCAGTATACGAGAGCTGTACGTAGCGGCGTAAAGAGGGGGAGTGTGGCGTTTGATTGATGATGCTGTGCGCACGTATGCTCGCAGCGTGGGAGCGCGGTGCGAGGCTGTAACAGTAGGGGCGTCGCGTTCGAATGCCGGCGAAACCGTAGCGGGTAATAGGGAGGTGGGGTAACGTAAACGAAATAGGGGATGCAGGCGGGAGGGACCCCGGGGGCCAATGGCCCCCACACGTCCGGAGAAAACCCACGTGTGCGAGGAAGGAAATGCAATGCCCGTACAGAGTCGACATTTCTGCTGTACCGCCTTTCTGGCAGAGCCTGGGTACGGCTGCTCCTCGAAGCCCACGGGAAGGGAGTTTTTCCAACATCCATATGGTGATCCACCAACCCTCGCTGCTGCCTGCACAGTGCTGGGTTACAGGCAGCCATATGCATAGCCATTACCGCCGCCGCTTGGCACAGAGAACCTCTTCACAGCTATGGCCCTGGCAGGGCACCAGTTTATTGAAGGGAGGGAACACGTGACAACGAGAAAGGCGGTGACACTTCCAGCTGGTGGTTAGAATCCAGTGGCCCACTATGGTTAATACTGCAGGTGTGTATTAACCATACACATACTGCCATCTGCTTCACTCGCAGTAGATGTTAAAGATCCCGTAACGTTAATCGCAAGAGTAGGGTCATTATTGTGTCGTTCTATATTTTGCCAAACTTTAAAAAATGTACCCATCGAATGTACTCAATTGTAATTAACAGTTCAGACCTGCTCCGAAAGGACATCTGTGAAAAAGAGCTTTAAAGCTCATCGGATTCCTCCAGTATCAATAAATATTCTTATTCTGATTGTGAAAACTCGGCAAGACCCTCTCTGAAAAAGAGTCGTGAGACTCGATGAGTTAAAAATTATAAATTCACACTTACAACAAGAGTTCACAGCCTACCAGCCATCCACAGTTGAGCGAAAGCCTCTGTGCTGCACTTCACGTGGCCTTAAAGTGCACATAGCCTGGCACAAGCGCTGTGGTGACATTACCGCCACTTGTTGGCAAATGGCAGTTGTTTTTGTGCTGCACAGGGTGTGCGCGCTAGCAGCTGTTACACCGCGCTGCATCCCAATTCAGTCCCTGGCCACGACTACCCCAGCGATTAGTTATATCTGAACCAGTACTCTTGCCCCTCCCCCTCCTGCACCAACCTGCAGTGACCAGCATGGTGAAGTATGGTCAAATGACCACCCCCATGATTTCCATAGAGTTGGGAGGCCATTGTCCACTAGTGATTGTTACGGTCACCCCGTGATCACCTCCGCTGGGAATGAAAATGGCCATGGCTGGCTGGGTGAGACAAGGGTCACCTCTTGGCTGCGTCTTCTTCATGGGGGGCAGTGTCCCGGGGGAGGAGGGCATCACCTTCCCTGGGCCAAACTCACCACTCTGGTCAACGCATGGAGCTGTGCGACTTAAGGGCGAGGGTGGACGTCCACCTGTTTTCTGGTGGTCGAGCACCTTCCTGCCCTGTGCCTCCTTGCCCTCCTCCCAAATCGACACCCCCCACGCCCTCCCTCATCCCCTCCTACTCATAAACGGAACTCAGCCTCCAGCGCCTGCACGGCATCAGTGAAGCTGGAGCAGGTGAGGTTGGGCCCCGGATCCACACGGCTCTCGTCCCCGTCGCGGTATTTGCCTGCACAAGGGGACAACGGCGATGTTAGTGAGCATCCACTTTAGGCACGGTCCAGATAAACTAAACTGTTAACTACGAAACGATTTTTATTTTACCAGTTAAGGCTCACTGAGCTGTTTTGCTCTTTTTCAGAAGTCACCTGACCACAAACGATAGCTCAACGAGGTGGATTATCACGTGGAAATGTATTGCAATCAAAATCTTACTGACCCTGGGAGCCTCACCGAGTCTCAGGACGGGTCTCTATGGGAATGATAAGATTTTCCATATTTCCGCTGTACATTGCATCTGTGCTACAAGGCTTTGCCTAAGACTTGTGCTCTCAATGGGCTTCTGCTTGGCTATAGAGGGCATTTATATCAAGATAAAGATACTTCCAGTTAAGAAATCTTAAAGAGAACAGTGCACCAACTTGGATCATAATGGATTGTCCCTTGGTTAAATAACCGTAACTTGAAAGTGAACTCGTGTTAGAGTGACAGCGGCGGGAGCCGCGTGTCCACTTCCTCCTCACCGGTTTTCACCAGGATGCCCCTCATGCCGGCGCGCTGTGCTCCCGCCACATCATCCCGGGCATCCTGACACACGGCACGCACGCACAAAGACAAAGATCCCCCATATAGCCTGAACAGACTGTTGGGGCAAGTGCTGTTAGGGAGCACCTATGAAGGCCGGCATGGTACACAAGGGGGTGCGTGGCCAGTGGTGATGTTAACACACTGGATCAGGTCCTCATTTGAGGCTGAGTCGACCTAGGGGAGGAGGACCATGACCGATTCAGATAATCATCACTGGTATTGGCCATGAGCGGGAATCGAACTCGGGTTGTTGGCTTCGTCGCGAAGCACACTAACCACTACACTACTGCTCCCTACAATACGTGTATGCACACATTTCTGGGAGGTGGCAGGGTTGAGGGGCCAGGCTCACTGCAACCTCGGGGTCGTACGCACATCTCCGATCATGACGGCCTGGTGTGGCTCGCAGTCCAGGCCCCGCAGGGCCTCCAGGAAGAAGGGCCCCTCCGGTTTCCCCACGGCGAGGGCCTGCACGCCCGCTGCGTACTCCAGCGCCGCCACGAAGGGGCCAGGCCCCAACGCTAGCCCGTCAGCGCGCCGGTAGTACCTCGCCTTGTGCACAGCCACGAGTTGCGCACCCTTCAGCACCAGCCTGCGCCGGGACAACACATCGTAAAAATGATCCCGTCAACTGATAATGCACCATCACGTAGCATTTGTTGCATGGCTCAGAGGCAGGTTGCTCAAGCTCTGCTATCCTCTGTATATTCAGGTGTTTTCAGCCAATTCATGAGTGTTTTTATTTGGGAGGAAAATGGAGCACTCGGGGGGGAAGAAAACCCACGTGTCTGAGGGGACAACCCTCTATCTCATACAGAGGGGATAGAGTCTACATGTTTGCTGTACTCCCTTGTTCTTGTAGAGCCAGTGTAGAGCTCCTCCTTGACACCCACAGGAAGGGATTTTAATAACATTTATATGTGTTACCCACCAACCCCTGCTGCTACGTCCACGACGCTGGATTACAGGCAAACGTGCACCTTCACCACCTGGCTATAATACAACACGTGGCCCGGCAAGACGTGAAAATGGTAAGGCACTCTGCACCACCCGCTCCAATGCAACCGATGCCATTGAGTTTTGCACGGGTCGATTCGTGATGGGCGTGTGGGGTGTTGGAGAGTGTAATAATGATTTTAGCGGCCGGCCGTGGAGGTCACGGGGGGGTAACATTTCTAATGGCGACGAAGTTAATGTGTGTGGCCACGTGAGCGCGTGGTCCATCGCACCTGAAGGCCTCGTTCATGGCCTCATAGTGGAACCTCTCCGGCGCGAGCCCCACCAGGACCGCGTTGGGCTCAGCCATGTTCACACCTGCCGCACGCACAGTCACATGGCAGGAGGGCAGAGTTCACTCTTCACTTGCCTCTGTGGTTCAGGCAAGCCTGGCTCTGCTGATGAGACACCAGGTCCAGGGTGGGCTCGCTTAAGCAAATGTATGTGGAGACACAAAGCAGAATTATGTTGATATCTGGGTAAATAACCGGGTACATATCAGCTAGCTTCATTAAAATCGTTTATGCAACTACCGCTAACCGCATGAAGGAAATGGTAAACAACCGCTAACTAGTTTTCCCCACATATAGAATTGTCCAGCAATAAACACCTCTTTTTAAATCCTTTATATTAAGTTCACTTGCTTGCTTGCTTAGGACCGTGCAAATCTTTCGGTCGTTTTTTAACCCACTTCCCATGATCCAATCGAGCTGACATTTTCCACACAGAATCGTTGTGCGTGACAATTAATGTTCGTGAAATTTTTTTCCAAAATTTTACACTTTTTAGGACAAAAATATATTTATTTACCAATTGCTTAATGCTGCCATGCAATCATCTGACCCATAGGTGGCAGCCATCTCAAGCCAGAGGACGAGAGGACTCTAGCCGCCACGCATAAATAGGATTTATAGTGAAAAACTTTGTTTTTACGGGTTATACTTGTTACCTATTTAATTGAGGGATGAAGGGAGCTGCTGCGTGTGTAACCAAGTCTTACCCTGGAAATCTTCCAGGGCCGAGTCCTCCAGCATGAGCAGAGGCCTCAGGCCCCGCACCTCCAGCAAGCTCCGCGCTGCTGACAGCGACGTGAAGATCTCATCAGGCTCCAGGGCGAAGCCGAGGCGCGTGAGGCGTGCGTGCAGGTCGCGCCGGCACTCCTTCGTGGTGTTGGTCACGAACCGGATGCTCAAGGGCAGCTTGCGCAGCCTGGGAGAAGAGAGGGGATATGATTGAGGGGTCTGATCTGCGCGGGCAGCCCTGGGCTCTGCACCCACAGAGCTCTGCACCCATAGCTGCTCTGCCTATAGAAGACACAGCAAATGGAACGGCAATCCACATCAATGATAAGATTCCTACGTGATTTTTTTTCGGTTTCATTGAGAATTCTTTATCTGGTGTCGAAGAAAGTGGGCTTGGGCAGAATACAGTTGCAAGAAGGGATGATGGCCGATGGACGAGACTGCTGATGGAATTTCAGTATAAGGAGATAATTTCAGTACAGATAAGTACAGTATAAAGAGATGCATCTCTGGAGAGGATGGCCACCATGGAGATGGAGTGTTGAGATTAGTTTGTATGCAGGAGATGGCTTGTGGCATCGCAGGACTATCAGTGAATGTGGCAATAAGGGGAGACCATCGTCCAGCTGTGGGTAGGCCATGTCTGATTAAAATGACATCTCAAACCCAACCAAAACCCTGATAGTGCATAGAGCAAGTGGCTTAGTCCAGGAGTCCATGGCCTGTGCACATAAAATGGGCATTTATCAATCTTAATTGAAAATGCAATACATTAAATGACAAACTACAGGAACATTATCTTTGTATACTGTGCAACAAAATCCAGGGATAACCAGGGGCTCCTACTCAGTAAACATGCCGTTGAGCCAATATTGACTCAACATTGGGCCAACGTTTAAGGGGCAACATTGGGCCAACATTTCATGTTTAGTGGGCACGAAGCTGGTGGGCGCATCTGTTGCCCTCTCGCGTGCTGGAGATGTGCGTCGGTGCCGAGTCCTGTGCCGTTCGCGTATATTAATAAGTGGAGGAAAATAAATGAATCATGATTCCACCAGCAATGGCGAGTGAACAGGGAAGAGCCCATTGCCAGATCCCCGGCTGTTGCGGCAGGCGAGGGAGTTTTAGCGTAGGGGAAGAGTGCCTGCTCGGTGCTGCTCGGGGGCTCCAAGTCCTTCTGATTGAGGCCTCCTCCCATGGACATTGGGCAAAGGTTTTAGTGACAACGTTGGGCCAACATTCCATGTTGACTGGGTAAAGCTTGGGACAGAATGCCACGTGTGAACCCCTTGTTGATTAGTGACAAACATGCCCATTATGGGGTCCTCTTTTGTGCGAGGCCTGGGAACATTTCCCTTCTGGTCCCTTTTGGTGAGTGGCCCTGACTACGGCCACTGGTGCCAACGGGCCTGTACCTCCCCTTACGCTCAATGCCACATATAATACATACCTTGATATTCATTGCATTATTTGGCATTTTATTAAATGCATCAGCAACACAAAGCGCCTCACACCTCAAGGTCACCCCCAGTGGCAGCTGTCCCTGCGTGCGCGTGCCAAAAGGTGACTGGCCTGCAAGCAGGCATTAGTCTGCCAATAGGGGACGATTATACTGGTAGGAACGAAGTGGACCAGACCACCAATAGATTAATGTGTCCGTCCGTCCGTCCGTCCGCCCGTGTATCAACATCGCCCCCTACTGCAAACACTTGGCATGACCCTGTCCGACAAGATGGCCGCCCGCTCCCCCTGCGATGTGAATTAAACAAGATGGCCGTCGCTTCCGGTGCATCACGGCAAAACTTTAAACTTCGCTTCAAAATTACTTTACTGAAACGCAGCACGTTTTTTTTATAAAAATAACTTTACTGAAACGCAGCACGTTTTTTAACACAGAGACAAGAAACATTTATTAACACAGAGACGAGATACATTTAATCGCCTTATTTGTGCACAAAAAGCACGGCGCGAGGCCTAGTGCGGCAGGCTTCGCGAGGCCTAGTGCCGCAGGCTTATTGACACAGAGATGAAACGCAGCACGTTTATTAAAAAAAATGACTTTACTGAAACGCAGCACGTTTTTTTAACACAGAGACAAGAAACATTTATTAACACAGAGACGAGATACATTTAATCGCCTTATTTGTGCACGAAAAGCACGGCGCGAGGCCCTAGTGCGGCAGGCTTCGCGAGGCCTAGTGCGGCAGGCTTTTTAACACAGAGATGAAACGCAGCACGTTTATTTAAAAAAAATACTCTCCTGAAACGCAGCACGTTTTTTAACACAGAGACAAGAAACATTTATTAACACAGAGACGAGATACATTTAATCACCTTATTTGTGCACGAAAAGCACGGCGCGAGGCCTAGTGCGGCAGGCTTCGCAAGGCCTAGTGCGGCAGGCTTCGCGAGGCCTAGTGCAGAAGGTGGTGGTGGGGGCTGGTGGTGAGGGCTGGTGGTGGGGGCTGGTGGTGGGGGCTGGTGGTGGGGGGTGGTGGTGGGGGGCTGGTGGTGGGGGCTGGTGGTGGGGGGTGGTGGTGGGGGCTGGTGGTGAGGGCTGGTGGTGGGGGCTGGTGGTGGGGGGTGGTGGTGGGGGCTGGTGGTGGGGGGTGGTGGTGAGGGGTGGTGGTGAGGGTTGGTGGTGAGGGCTGGTGGTGAGGGCTGGTGGTGGGGGGTGGTGGTGAGGGCTGGTGGTGGGGGCTGGTGGTGGGGGCTGGTGGTGGGGGGTGGTGGTGGGGGGTGGTGGTGGGGGGTGGTGGTGGGGGGTGGTGGTGAGGGCTGGTGGTGGGGGCTGGTGGTGGGGGGTGGTGGTGAGGGCTGGTGGTGGGGGCTGGTGGTGGGGGGTGGTGGTGAGGGCTGGTGGTGGGGGGTGGTGGTGGGGGCTGGTGGTGAGGGCTGGTGGTGAGGGCTGGTGGTGAGGGCTGGTGGTGAGGGCTGGTGGTGAGGGCTGGTGGTGAGGGCTGGTGGTGAGGGCTGGTGGTGAGGGCTGGTGGTGAGGGCTGGTGGTGAGGGCTGGTGGTGAGGGCTGGTGGTGAGGGGTCTTTAAATCTCACAGCGTTTCTTGTCAAAACAAACACTTTTAATTAACGTTACACTAGAATACAGTAATTTTGTCTTTAACTCCTCTATACCCGGTCGATATCCCTGTACCGGTACTAAGTATTATTCCTACCAGCCCACCCCGCAGGGTCCTGTTACTGGTAGGAACGAAGTGGACCAGACCACCAATAGATTAATGTGTCCGTCCGTCCAGTCAGTCCGACTGTCCGTCCGTCCGTCCGTGTATCAACATCGCCCCCTACTGCAAACACTTGGCATGACCCTACAAAAACCTTTAGACTCAGTGACGCTATCTTGGTAGCAACATCGCCCCCTACTGCAAACACTTGGCATGACACGTGTAACATTCCCTTATTCCCTGAGATAGCTTTTAATTAAAACTTTGAAATTAAATAAAAACAACTCACAGCGCCCTAAAGCCTACAACGAGGCCTAAAGCCTAGAACTAGGCCTGAAACTCTCCCTTCGTATCGTACCCCCGCGTGTGTGAAAGGGAGTTATGTTTAACAATGTTACATTCCCTCATGTTTTTAAATAGAAACATTTAAATTTAAAGCTTTTACATAAATCATTAAAACATTTAAATTAAAATTAACTCACAGCGCCCTAAAGCCTACAGCTAGGCCTAAAGCCTAGAACTAGGCCTCAATCTCTCCCTTCGTATCGTCCGATTTGGTGTAGCAACATCGCCGCCCTACTGCAAACACTTGGCAGGACCCTACAAAAACCTTTTGACTCAGTGGGGCTTTCCTGGCTTAACAAGTGTAATAATAAACTTCGCTTCAAATTTACTTTACTGAAATGCAGCACGTTTTTTAACACAGAGACAAGATACATTTATTAACACAGAGACAAGATACATTTAATCGCTTTATTTGTGCACGAAAAGCACGGCGCGAGGCCTAGTGCGGCAGGCTTCGCGAGGCCTAGTGCGCCAGGCTTTGCGAGGCCTACTGCGGAAAAGGCTTCGCGAGGCCTACTGCAGAGAAGGCATCGCGAGGCGTACTGCAGAGAAGGCTTCGCGAGGCCTACTGCAGAGGCTTCGCGAGGCCTACTGCAGGGAAGGCTTCGCGAGGCCTAGTGCAGAAGGCTTCGCGAGGCCTACTGCAGGAGGCTTCGCGAGGCCTAGTGCAGGAGGCTTCGCGAGGCCTACTGCGACAGGCTTCGCGAGGCCGTCCGTCTGTCTGACAAGATGGCCGCCCGCTCCCCCTGCGATCCGTGAACTAAATGAACTAAACAAGATGGCCGTCGCATCCGGCGCAGCCAATGACATCGCCTGTTGCAATCCTTGCTGTGGGCGCGCGAGTCAGTGGGGAGGGGGGTGTGGACGTCATCGCTCTGTGGGCGCGCGAGTCAGTGGGGAGGGGGGTGTTGACGTCATCGCTCACCCCCCATGCACAAATCATTTTCTTTTTAACTCCTCTATACCCGGTCGATATCCCTGTACCGGTATTAGTATTATTCCTACCAGCCCATCCCCGCAGGGTCCTGTTACTGCTGCTGTTGTGTCATCCCGAGTGATTTGCAGAGCCACTGCCACTTTAATTGCGACCGGTGCTGCACCATGGGCAGCGCAAGGCAAATTATGCAATAAGAAATCTGTGCTATAAATAGCTCATTAAATAACCCCATTGTCAAACACAAGAAGCCTAAGACGTCCCTCTAATTGTCTTTTAACTATCCCAAGAACAATAATTGGAATAGGTGACATAGCTTTTGCAAACACCAACGTTTTGGAACAACCTTGTTTCCTCCCTTAAAATCTTCCTCTTCCTGACGCAAAAGATTAGTGCTAAATTATCCTGGATACAACCACATTTGTAAATGTGATTTGTAACTCTGATCCTTACCTATGCATCGATAGTTAAATTTTAATGTGCAATTTTATTGAGGGCCTGTGTGTTGTCTTGGTGTGGTCTGGGACTGTTTTTATGCCTTACCCAAGTTTGCATTTAGTGTTGAAATATCAGCAGGAACCGATGTAATATTCCAATTTGTACTTTTTAAAACATTTTCAGTCACTTGCTTACCTTTCCTATACTTTGCACTCCGCTCGTGTTTTGTATTGTTGGTTGTTATAAATTTCTGACCTGCCCCTACTGGACATCTGTGAAAAAGAGCTTCATAGCTAATCCGATTCAACCAGTCTAAATACAGCACCGTACTATATATTCCGATGACACATGGCCGTGAGCGCCTTCAGTGGCGAATAGAGGTACTGCGAAATTATAAAATAATAGCCAATATTCCCACAAATATTGTAATTATTTTTGACAAATCCAAATCGGCCTATACGGCCCTTGCGGGATTGGCATCTTAGGGACACAGCTGGGTCCCCTCGCCAGAGGGATAAGGGGCCACAGGGGGGGGGGGGGGCTCCCTCGCTTGTTCATTGCTTCGCCTGGTATATAGGTCCTGGTAGGTTCGATTCCGACCCTGACACCTGCTGAAAATTTTGAGTTTGCGTCTCTCGATCATCACGGTGGCTAAGAGATGTTAACTACATCGCCTGGTATTACAGAAGCCGTGTTAGGTTCGATCCCGACCCTGACACCTGCTGTTTATTGGAGTTTTCATGTCTCTCTCTCTCTCCGTGGTCGTGTGGATTTTTCTCCGGGTCCTCCGGGTTTCCCCTTCCACGTTTAGAATGAACGTGCGTTTAAGAGTATTTGGCTGCTATGAATTCCCACTTGACAAGCCACTGCGTTGACGCTATCATTTATGGCAGCAAGATCGCTTCTGAAAAAGAGCTCTATAATAGCTCAGTGGGCTTTACCTGGTAAAGTAACAACACCAGTTTATAGTAGTTTAGTTTCGGTGGTCGCTCGCAGAAGGGAGAAGCCGTGACCACTTCTCGGCCGCCGATTACAATCGCCCTTTGTAGTTTAGATCACGACGAAGTAACAACAGCGAGGTTATTATGGTGAAGACGACGACGATATTTACCGGAGCAGAGACTCCTGCGCGCCGGGCACGGCCGCGTCCCCGACGTGGAGCGTTCCGCTCAGGTCAACGAGCGCGGCGCGCAGCTTCCGCATCCTGCCGGGCCTCACGGCGACAAACCAACCCGGGCCCCCGCCGCGGAGCCGGCCGACGATCCCGGGCCCCACGGCTCGTGCCTGGCACCCCCGAGTCTCAGTGCCCCTCACCCACCCCACACGCGCCCCCCCCCCGGTGGGTCCCGGGAGCACCGCGGGCTCAGAGACGGCCTCCCACGCACGGGCCCCCCGCGGCCGCTCGCTCGATTCCCGTGCAGAGGCAGCCCGATCGCTGTCCGATAATTACATGAAACCCCCTCGAAAGAGATGTCGGTCCCCCGTGAGTTACGGGGTTTACGCGAGGGAGCGAGGTGGGTGGGCTGGGGGAGAATTTGTGAATCTCTCGCGGGGCTTGCGAGGGCGGCTCCGGGTCGCGGCGCGTGAACGCATCACGCGGTCACACAATCACGACGAACCCCCCCTCGCAACTAGTCACAAAGGGCCCACTGGTGAGCGACGATAAGAATCCCTGAGCCCCTGTTTAAAACCGCAGCTGGCCAAACAACCCTCAACGTGTTGTTACAGTACACGCTGAACTTCTTTCGCGCCGTACGTAACCAACGGTGATCGTCGGCGGTGCGGGGGAATTGACAACAACACAACACTGCGGCAACATTCTCCTGCAAACGATTGGGACTCGGTTCAACTTTCACGAGATTGCGCACCGCAGGCCGCCGTGGCGAGTGATCAATGTTGTTGTTATTTCCGCTGGGGCGAGTGATCAATGTTGTTGTTATTTACGCTGGGGCGAGTGATCAATGTTGTTGTTATTTCCGCTGGGGCGAGTGATCAATGTTGTTATTTCCGCTGGGGCGAGTGATCAATGTTGTTATTGCCGCTGGGGCTGCTATGGCGGCTCGCGGCAGACGGAGTTCGCGGCGGGGTCCGCCCCTCGCTCCGCCTCATGGCGGCGGCCGGGGCCCGAGCCTCCTCCACCTCTCCCCGCAGTCCCCCGCTCGCGAAATTGCGACTTCTCTCGCCGCTCATCACCATAACCACCCCCACGATCATCATTCATGGCCTCGATGATGACGACGGCGGCAATCAAAGCGGGGGGCGAGCTGGGGGCGACCCCCCCCCCCGTGTCAGATCGAGGCAGGCGGCGCCGCGCTGCTGCTGCTGCGATGTCGACTCTGCCGGGGCGGGGGGGTTCCCGTTGACAATTCTCACGATCCGTCACGCGTGAGATTTGCCATCATATATTTTTTAAATCGATGTTGCAGAGGTTCCGTTTGGTTGTTGGATTTATTAGGGGTTTGGTTATTATTTTGTAGAACGGAGGATTATTGTTGGTGATGGTTGTGAAGCATGTAACGTCACCGCAGCTGCATCTCGAGGCGCTGTTTGTGGCGAATTATCGCCGGCGCCGCGAGCTACTCGTGGCGTGCTCCTGGCGCTGCCGTCTCGAGTTGTTTGTCGGGGCTCATTTGTTTTTCCGTGCGCGCGTTCCTCCTGCGCCGCCACGAGTCGAGTCAACCCCCCCCCCTCGTCGTGTCGAGTTTAATGGCCGGTTACTCTCCCCCGCTTGTCGAACACCCCCCTCATTGTTAAACCTCCCCCGGGGGGGGGAGCCGGGGGGAAGGCAGTTGGGCGCTCGTGAATCCGCAACAGAGACTCCCCCCCCGTGCCCCCCCCCCTCGTGCCCCCCCCCCCTCGTGCCCCCCCCCCCCCCTCGTGCCCCCCCTCGTGCCCCCCCCCCTCGTGCCCCCCCCCTCGTGCCCCCCCCCTCGTGCCCCCCCCCCCTCGTGCCCCCCCCCCTCGTGCCCCCCCCCCCCCCCTCGTGCCCCCCCCCCTCGTGCCCCCCCCCCCTCGTGCCCCCCCCCCTCGTGCCCCCCCCCCCTCGTGCCCCCCCCCCTCGTGCCCCCCCCCCTCGTGCCCCCCCCCCCTCGTGCCCCCCCCCCCTCGTGCCCCCCCCCCCTCGTGCCCCCCCCTCGTGCCCCCCCCCTCGTGCCCCCCCCCCTCGTGCCCGCCCCCCCCTCTCTCGGCCCCTCCGCGCTGCCCATTGTCAACCTCTCCAAATCGCCTTGCCCCGACTGCCCACCGCGTCACCGCATTGGCTACCCGCGCGCGCGACGTCACGTCCGCCGTCGCCCATTCGTTTCTGGCGCACCACGCGGGCGGTGACGTCATTGCGCGGCGCTCGAGAACTCGGCGCCGCGAGACCGCGCGCGCAAGCGCAGCGCAGTCGCTTCCCGGAGCCCCCACAACCCTGCGAGGAGTCCCCCACGCAGCTCGATCGGTGAGCAAGGGGAACCCCCCACCCACACCACCACTAACCACCACCGTGCACGGGGGCCAGCAGCAGCGGCGGCGGCGGTCGCCGAGCGCCTGCTCGCTCCGCCGCGGCTGCTCGCCCCCTAGGGGTTGGGCTCGCGTCGAGTCGGGGGCGTCACCGCGCGCCATTTTGTGGGGGGCAACGGGGACCACAGCGGGGCGGCGCATGTTCACCTCCCCTCCCCCCGCGGCCTCCCCCTGGATCCCCCCCCCGACCCCCAAGCGGGAGGAGCCGCCTCGTTCCCGCCTTAAAGCACAGCCCTCGCCCGCCACTCCGGAGCGCTTTGTGCGCCACGGCGTGAGGCGAACTGCGCATGCGTCGTCCGGCATTGCGGTGACGTTGCGTGGGGGGATGGGCGGAGCCCCGAGTGCAGCGATGGGGAGGTAGGCGTGGCAGCGGTGACGTCACGACGGGGCGGGGCTTGTGTCGCAGCTCGGGTCGCGTTTAGAACGCGGCGGCAGTGGAGAGGGGCGACGTGAGCCGAACCCGAGCTGCGCGCCGCTGTGTTTGTCAGGGCGGTGGCGGTCGCGGTATGAGATCATTGGTAACGTGTGAGCGCTGGCGTTTACCGCGCAACTTAAAAAAAATCACTTTCCGAGCACACCGGCCCAAAACAGCAAACAAGCCGAAACAGCCCGGTCGAGGTCGTGTAATAGATTATGCAGGCCTCGTGCTGCTTGGAAGCGTATTGTCAAGTAATACGCTGTTAAATTGCATGGTGGTCAACTGTGAACAGCCAATAATATGTACTGCATTTCCTCTGCAATTCTGTGAAAAACCTTAACAATTGGCTGTGTCGGGTGGTGGTGGGTTTTTAACTACACATTTACGCCATCCCAAAAAAATGTATTGTGGATAGTAAGAAGCTCGCTGATAGAAAATCTGCTGGATGTAATTGGCTCCTTTGCAGCAATTACATTTGCTATTTAACTCGGTTGCAAAGCCCCGATTTATCAAAATCTTTATTTGGGCTGGAGGAATCCGATGAGCTATGAAACTCTTTCACAGAGTCACAACAACAAACGATATACAACAAATCCGATAGAAGAGTGCAAAATAATAGAGGTAAGCAAGTGTGACAGGGGAATCGCCTTGAGGGTAAAATCAACACACTCAGTGTGTGTGCGTTTGTCGCCGACCCAATCGCCGTTAACGCAGCCCCAGTCGCATCTCAGAATAAATTTCAGAAGAGATGCGACAGTCACATCTTGTATTGTTGCTGTAGCTCGCTGACGCACCACGACTGGACATCCGTGAAAAAGAGCTTCACAGCTCATCGGATTCCTCCAGTCTAAATAAAGATTCTGATTCTGGGAAGTTAAGCAGGAGGGAGCTCGCTGAGTTCCCGGGTGGGTGACCACCATGGCTTGCTGCTGGTGGTTATTGTGGGTGGTCAAGACTGCTGCCGTTCACGGAAGCGGCTGTGGGCTGTGGGTCCTCGATTGATGCGCGTTCATTCACACGACGCGTTTTCGCTGTAACGCGCGCGATATGATACGACACGCGCGGTCGGTTCTCCTATAACGCGGTAGTTGCGTTCCTGAAGAACATCTCGTGAAGGAAAAATCACCTGATAATAAAGCACAGTCCGCGATAACACATGAGATGCGTATGCAGGCTGACCAAAGACTGAAGCTTGTGGATAGCATCTAGAACAGGGGTCGGGAACCTTTTTGACTGGGAGAGCCATAAAAGCCAAATATTTCTAAATATATTTCAATGAGAGCCATATAGTATTTTTAACGTATAATAAATTAAATGTCTTACTTTTAATGCGACTTCTGGTCACGGGATCCGTGACCCGAGAAATTTTATCTTCAAAACTAATTTCTGTTTACTTTAAAATGACACAGTATTATTAAGCAATATCACAAGTATTTTTAAATCAGTTCCAAACTGATTTTATTTTTATTTTTTTATTATTCTTTTTTTCAACTCAAAATTGTCTGGGAGCCATATGCCGTCACCGGAAGAGCCATATATGGCTCGCGAGCCATAGGTTCCCGACCGCTGATCTAGAAACATTCAGCAGCGTCCTGCCTTGTGTACAACCACTTATTCCTACTCGCGCGACTAAGTTCCAATTCACATTCGGTTAGAAAAAAATGTGTTCCCTAATACATGCATCGCGTATATCCAAGTCACGTTATGAAAACAACATGTGTTTATAGGAGATCCGACTGTCAGTAGATCTTTCAAGCAATTGAGCTTTAGTTGGGAATGTTTTACTTTTGGCCGCTGAGTATTCACTTTCACCACTTTTCAGCATTGAAGGTTGAAGACGTTCATGTATTCCGTCCGCCCCTTCATAGTAGGGGATGGCGGCACTAACCCTAGCAAAGATGATTCTACGTGAGCTGCTTCACTGTCGTACAAAGTTTTGTTGCTGTTGTGGATGCATACCCCATTGAGAGTGGCCCGGGTTTGATGAGATGGTTGCCCAACCCTGAAACCCAAGGCACAGCAAAAACAACGGGTTCCTATAGAAACACATGTTGCCATGACGGCCAGTCGGTTTGTACACTGCCGATTCAATCTTTCCAAAGACAATTGAATACTCGGGGTGTTGCATAACTGCTGCGCGTGCGATCATTTTCCTGACTTGTTAGTTTAAACGTAATGGAGCTTATTAAACTAAGCATTTTTTTATTTTACCAGGTAAGACCCTAACTCTCTCGGCTTCCAGCCCCGCCCACTCCCCCTCCCAGCCTCACGTCCCTCTCCGAGCGTCCACGTAGCGCTCTCCCCCCCCCTTGCCCCTCCCCCCTTTCTTACCTATATAACCTCTTACCACGGCAACTCTCTCTCCTACTAAGCAAAAAATGCTTTTGCTGTGGTTTTCCCACCTGGAGATGATCGCTTGTGTTGCAATCAAAACGTCGTGATTTATTTTATTTTATACCTACGTGACTTTACCGAATAAACCAAAGAGTATAGGTAAGACCCACTGAACTATATAGATCTTTTTCAAAAGCCACCTGGCCACAAATGATAGCCCAAAAATATGGCTTCTCATGTACAAATGTATCGCGACCAAATATTCGAAATGCACGTTTCTAAATTGTGTGTCCCTCCCCCCCACCCCCAAAATTCCAGTGAGCAGGAAAAATGGCGGAGCTTTTTATGGAGTGCGAGGAGGAGGAGCTGGAGCCATGGCAACAGCAGGTGGAAACCCCCGATGACGACGACGAGGTGGAGTGCGTGGAGCCCACGTCCCCTCCGGCCACGCCGACCCCGCCCCTGCCGACCCCAATGGCCCTGACTCGCACCATCCTCGCTGTACCCAGCACCTCGGCCGCTGCAGGTGATGGTTGGGCAGGGGTAGGGACGACGACTCCCTTCATTCCGCACCAGCGTCCAGGTCGTTTGGGATAACGCGGTTGTGAGGATATGTTATCCCCCTCGCCTGCCGTGGAAGAGTTTGTGGGTTCGATCCTGATCTCTGACGTTACTCGTATATTTGGAGCCCGCATGTTCTCTCCCCCGTGGTGGTCGCGTGAATTTTCCATCCACATTTAGAAACATGTGTTTTTGTTGTTTGCCTGCTATAAATTCCCACATATGGTATAAACCACTTCGATGAGCTATCACGTGTGGCCAGCTGAGTGGGATTTGCTTTATAATTAGGTGGCTTGTGCAGTGTCTCCATATGTCACCCCTATAACCCTGTGGTGCACCCTGTACGTGTGTGGTGGGTAGCTGTGGTGAAGTGGTTAGCACATTGCGCTACGAACCCAGTAACCACTTGTGGCCAATACCAGTGACGGTTGTCTAAATCAGTCCTGGGCCTCTGCTAGGTCCACTCGGCCTCAAAGAAGCATCTGGTTTGATGTGTAAACATCAGCACTCAGGAGAAAAAAAGGTTGACTGGTGTGGTACTGGCCACCCATCCCCTCACGTGCCGTGCCAGCCTTCAGAAGTGCTCGCTAACTGTACTTGCCCCAACAGTCCATTAAAGGCTATACGGGGGGTTTTTGTCTTTGGTGAAGGTGTTCCGGCGCGGTCCCCAGCCATCTCCGTCACCGCTCCAAGTGCCCCCGCTGTCTCCTCCGGTGTTTTGGGCGGTATGTCTCACGGACGGCATGGTCATAAACCCCGATGGTGTCTTCTTGGTTGTCCTCTAGCCGGTGCAATGTGCTTCCTACATCAGTGCCACCATCTGCGTTGTGGTGGTGGCTATCCACGTAGCCTGTAATCCAGCTCTGTGGTGCTGGCTATGCACATGGCCTGTAATTCAGCGCTGTGGTGATGGCGGCTATGCATGTGGCCTGTAATCCAGCACTCTGGAGGTGAGGATTGGTCGATTACTGCACAAATGTTGTGAAACTCCCTTCCCGTGGACGTTGAGGTGCTCGCCCTCGCTTGCCGATAGAAGGCAATACAGCGAGTAGACTAATCTCCAGCTGTGTCCATCTGTGGTTTCCTCCCACGTGTATAATAAACACAACTCACTATTGATTTGCTGAAAACATCTCAAAATTAAAACCCAATGCAGAACCCTCCTGAAGACTAGTCCTATGACTCAGTGTGGCTGTCTTGGATATATAAGTACATTTTTATATTGTATTTTATTATTGTTTACATTTAGCCTATTCCCGCATGCTCACAGAATGTGTGCAGAGGATGCTTATTGCCCGCCCGTTCTGCCTGACTTACTTGCCCTAAACCCACAATTTTTGATTTCAGTGTACATTTAAACCATAGGACAGAACAGAGGGGCACATTGTACAGGTGCCGGTGTCTCTTCCCTTGCTCTGACACTTTCCACACATCTTTAGTGTGACTCCAGAAGGTGCCGAGTTGGTGTGACTCTACGAAGTGAATCGGCCTCGAGCAGTCGTGACTGCTCAGTGGAACCAGTTGGCTACTTGTAGTGGCCCACACAGCAAACGCATTCACAATGCAGGAACAGCCTTAGGTTGGGCTCTTTGTCCAGGGTTGTTGTCTTTGTTATGCCAGATGATTGCCATCCGGTTCTCTATGAAAACTTCACTCGCAAGTTGTGTTTCACTCCTATATCCTCGTCTGTTTACGTATTCGTACAGTGGTCACCCTGTGTCTATAATTTAAATGTGTTCTATTATAATTGGTCTCATGTGACGCAGTTGTTTTTGTACCGATTCCTTTTTTTCACGGATGTACTTTGTTTAGTTTTTGTAATTTTGGTGATCCAGGTCACTTCCTAGTCATTCGTGTTCCTATTCTTAGGTTTTTTCGGTAAAGTCACGTAGGTAAAACATCAAAATTAATAAAAATAAAATAAAGATCACGACGTTTCGGAGGCAACACAAGTCTCCGTCATCAGGTGGGACCTGTCACAGCCAGATTAGCTGCATCAAGTGAGGCAATGATTCAAGATGTAATCCCTTAAAAGCGAGTTGAGGGGGGAGGAGAGGGGGGGGGGGAGCTCATCAGAATGTGGTAGCCAATGAATGATGAGCCCCCCCCCCCTCTCCTCCCCCCTCAACTCGCTTTTAAGGGATTACATCTTGAATCATTGCCTCACTTGATGCAGCTAATCTGGCTGTGACGGTCCCACCTGATGACGGAGACTTGTGTTGCCTCCGAAACGTCGTGATCTTTATTTTATTTTATTTTTATTAATTTAGATGTTTTACCTACGTGAATTTACCGAAAAAACCTAAGAATATGAATCCTTGCAGTCACGAAAGCTTCAAATCTAGAATTCGTGTTCCTCCCGAGGTTTAACCGAACAAACTAATTGGCGACCTGTTTCTGGTTAGGACTGAATTGGAGGTGTCTCGTGGGTGCAGTGTCGTTGCTAAAGTCCGTTGCCTCTTTCGCTTGTCCTGCAGCACCGGCAGGGCCGGCCTGTCTGCCGGTACCCCCAGCCAATCCCATGGCGCCGCTGACGTTTGGGATGCTGTCCACGACGGGCCAGAACGTGCTGACAGTACCCACGCTCACCGGGACCATCGCCCAGGGACAGAACACCTTCCTGCTGGCCCCAGTGAGTGAGCTATTTTCAGAGTGGCCATGCGCTCCGTTTCGTAATGCGCGAGTGTGGGTAAGCGGGGTGGGGCAAGGAGGAGGATGCATTCGATGTTGGGGAGAGCAGCGAGAGAGGACAGAGTCTGCTGAAAGTTTACAAATGCAGGAGCAATTTATGTCTCTGTCAAAATGTGGAAAATGTACACGGAGGAGCCCCAATGAGGATTAAAAAACACAGTTGACATCGCTATCATGGATCATCCCCCCAAAGACGTCCGGGACGTTTGTGTGAAATGTAACACGCGAGGTCGCAGGCTGCCACGATGCAGCTAACCCTCAACGTCTGCCGGAGAGTGTCCGCTGCCGCTTGGGATCAACACGCAGTGCTCCGGGTCAGGCAGCGTGTTGAGCGTACCTCCTCTCAAGCTGTTGCCACCACACGCTACTGCTGCCGCTGCTGCAAACGGCGAGTGGTTCAGGAGCCCGCACGGTGTTTGTGTCGCCGGTTGATCGCGCAGGGCTACATCCTGAACGGCATGGCAGCTGGCGCAACGGTACAGGCCCAGGGCCACGGCGGGAACAGCTTCGTGATCCAGCTGCAGGGAGGGACCCAGCTGCCCGTGATGGCCGGCGCCGCTGGGCAGCAAGGGCTGCGCATGCCCACCATGGTGCAGGGTCAGTGACCGTGGCCGGCCTGGCCTGTGTCCCCCGTCGCCCCGTGCGGCAGTCCGCATATCTCCCTCCCATTACCCAGCTCCAGAGTGCGAGATACACGAGTTGTTTGTGTGTGTAGTTGTGTGTGTGTGGTCGCTCAAAGAGCAGTAGTGTAGGGGTTATCGTGCTGCGCTACAAACCCAGCGACCCGAGTTTGATTCCCGCTCACGGCCAATACCAATATCTGAACTGGTCCTGGGTCTCCCCTAGATCAACTCAGCCTCAAATGAGTACCTTGTGTGGTGTGTAAACATCGCCATTGGGGAGACAAAGGCGGTCGGGCATGGTGCTGGCCACCCACCTCCTCGTGTGCCATGCCGGCCTTCATAGGTGCTTGCTAACAGCACGTGCCCCAACAGTATGTTAAGGCTAAACAGGGGATCTTTGTTTTTGTGTGGTCGCTCACAACCAATAACAATGGTTAATATTATTACACACAAAGTGCTTGCCACAAATTAAACACAATACCTTGCTGATCATATTACGTGGCTGATCTCGTCAAGGAGCGTAAACCATCACGCAAACTCCGGTCATTTTTGCAGCGGCTTTTGACTAACCATCGAACAAAGACAGTCACTGCATCGCGTGCTTTCAGATGCACTTCTGTGGTCATCTGGAACGGTCTTCCTTTCGATATTATGAAGCCACTTAAGCCGGGCAACTAAATTGCAGCATGTTGGCACAGTAGTTAGGCACAGCTGGTGCATCTGCCAGTCATCTCGGTCAGTCAACCCATGGCACTTGGATCACCTGTCAGCGAGCCTTCGACACTTCACGTGGCCTCCAAGTGCACATGGCCTGCCGCAGGTGCCACTTAATAGGAAATGGTGGGTGTTGTTGTTGTTGGTTGTGCATGTGGTGTGCGGTTGACAATTGTATGTACGGTTGCGTGGTTGTGCTCGTGTGTGCCGCCCAGTCCCCGGCTCCATGGTGCAGGCGGCGCGGCCCGGTAACCCCGTGTCCCAGAGGCTCAACATCCCCGTGCCGGTACGCTTCGTGGTGCCGCCCAAGTCGGGGCTCCCGCAGGTGATGCCGTCGCAGGGCAGCGGGCTCTTTACCAGTTCCTCTGCCATTGCCGGCTCCTCTGCCATGCAGATCGCGCCCGCAGTGGGCGCCGGGGCCGGCGCGCCGGTCAACCTGGGGATGCAGTCAACCGGTGAGGCCCCCCCCCCCCCCCCACCTGCGGCGGCGGGGATCATAGCCCTGTGGCATTGTGCCACGCAACGCAGCGCACCCTTGCGCGCTCACTACCGGGGCTTATTCACGAAGGATTTTGGGCGTCAAGATAGCGAGAGTAAAATGTGTGACGTTAACCTTCATCCACCCGATGCAGCCAATCAATGAAGTTGTCACGTGGTGAACAAATGTGCCGATTTATTACTGCTTCAGCAGTAGCACCGGGAGGCTGGAGAGTCATTTCGTCATTTCACAATATTTAACCATTGGGTGCAAGGTATATATTTTTCCATATTCACAAATATTTTGAAATTTCCTTCCCTTCGCTGTCAAAGAGCTGACATACTCTGGCTTGCCAGGAGAAAGCAGTACAACGAGTGGACTAATCGCCATCTTTTTACATCTGTACGGGGAAAGAGTGTTGCCCCCTCGTGTGCCTGAAAAAAAGTCCTATGACTCCTTGTGGCTCTCCTGGACAATAAAACAACCCGCTTGCTGTGGCTTTCGCTGCTTCCCCAGTGGTGAGCGCGCTGGGGCATCTGCCACGCCTCACGCTGAAGCGTGGGTCCGTGTCGGCGGCACCCATCCCCATCGACCCCAAGCGCCTGCGCACCGTAGTGACGCAGGCGAGCTACGGCCTGCACGGCAGCCTCGCCAACATCCCCGTCAAGTCAATGGCTGGCGATGGGCTCGCAGCACTCGGTGGCCCCGGCGGCGGAGGCATCGGCTCGTCCGGTGGCCCTGGCGCCGCCCTCTCGATTGCGTCGCCCGCCTCCGAATGTAGGTTCAGCCGTGACACTCTTGGTATCTTCTGTGTGTAGAACGGCAAGGTTCTTCAGATATCATCTGCGTGTGGGCCACGTAGCAGAATCGTCGTTTGTCGGCGGGTCACCTGACGTCATACAGCTGTCTCGACGTTCACGATACACGGTTTTAATTACATTTTATTATTAGTGGACATGGATAAGAAATGTTCAGCCTTTTACAAGAATTGACCGGCGGAGAGCCTTGGTGAAAGAACGGAAGTAACAGCAACGAATAAATCCTAACGTTGCAGACACCGAATTAGCAAACACATTTGGGGAACAGCAACATTAAGGTCACATGCCACTCATCACTGGCAGCAACTCGTGCGGGGTTCTCTCGTTACGCTGACCCCAGTGGTGAGCGCGCTGGGCAGCTGGCGGAGACGGGGAGGCATGGCTTGCGTCATGCCTCCCCGTCTCCAGTCTCGTGCTCTCCTCTCACGCATCTGGCCTTCATCGCCTACAGCTCTCTATGCTCTTGTTTGCCTCTGTCTGCGTCGTCGAGCCCAAATCTCATAAGCGGACCATCGCAGTGGCCTCGCTGGTCACATCCCGCCCACGGGGTTAGGGTCGGCTCAATTTGAGGAGCGCGGTGGCGGTGAGCCTGAGACGACGTGCATTCCCGTGTCACCTCCCGCAGATGACAAGATGGACAACAGAGTGCCCATTCCCAAGGGCTGCCCCAAGTGCAACCTGCACTTCAACATGCTGGACGTGCTCAAGAGGCACATGAAGGTGCGGTGACAGCGCTGTCGTGGCTCACTCACACACTCGCACAAGCATGCATACGTGCACACATACATACACGCAAGTGTGCGTTTGCGCGTGTGTACATGATTGAGCGGTCCATGGGATAGTTTCTGTGCCACCACTCGATGTTGATGTTTATTTTAAGCTAGGCAGGGTTGCTCGTGCTTGGTAATTGGATGGGAGATTGAGAATACCAGGTGTTTTGAGGTTGGGGGGTGTAACGGCCAGGGGATAGCAGTATTGATGCATTTTGATCCCAAATCACGGGAGCCTCCCGAGGCAGGCGGAGGGCATTTTTGCCGTGTTTGCGATTCCATTGTGAGGTGCGGTTTGCTTCATTGCCCGCGTTGGGCTCCGATGAGGGCAATGAGCGGGATGACCCTGCTGTCTTGTCCGTGCCCTGCAGGTGTGCTGCCCGGAGCAGCTGTTGCTCCCCGAGAGGCCCGACGTGCCCGGGATGCAGCTCCCCAAGCCCACCGCCCTCCCGCCCATCAAGTAAGGGGCCCTCGGCTGCATCGCGGACGGCCATGGCTCACAGCATGATGGTGGCTGATAGAATGCAGGGCAGTTGTTTCCCCCGTGAGTGCGTGTGTTTGTGTGTGTGTGTTCTTTGTTGTTCGATTCCCGCTCATGGCCAACACCAGTGACGATTATCTGAATCGGTCATGGGCCTTCCCCTAGGTCGACTCAACCTCAAATTAGTTCCTAGTGCGGTATGTAAACATCGCCACTGGGGAGACAAAGGCAGCCGGGCGTGGTGCTGGCCACTCACCCCCTCGTGCTCTGACAGCTTTCATAGGTGCTTGCTAATAACACACACCCCAACAGTCTGTTCAGGCTAGATGGGGCGTCTTTGTTAGAATGTGGGATTGTATGGGTGTGAGTGGTTGTGTGTGCAGAAGTGTAGTGATTAGTGCACTGAAGTACACCACAAGTGACCCAGGTTCAATTGCCACTCACTGTCGCTCACTCGCCATCTCGCTCACTCACACTCTCGCTCATCTGAATCATTTGTGGACCATCCCTCAGTCAACTCGAGGAGATAAAGGCCGTCCGGCGTGGTTCTGGCCACACCACCACCTCGTGTGCCATGTTGGCCTTCATAACTGCTCGTAAGCAGGACTGGCCCCAAGAGTTTGTTGAATCTGTAGGGGAATCGCCTTTCGCGTGCGTGCAGGCCGGCGCCGCAGAAACTGCTGTTCTCCGAGGGCAGGCTCATCATGCTGGTGGACGACTTTTACTACGGGCGGGCCGAAGGCACCCGCAAGCACTTCGATAGCAACATCATCATCACGACGCCCTTCAAGTGCTACAGCTGCGCCAAGGTGCTCAAGAACAACATCCGGTACGTGGGCACCATCGCGGAACCCTGTCTCTGGTAAACACCCTCATCGCGGTGGCGGTGACTGCGGCGGCGGCGGCGCTGGGAGGTGGACGTATGGCTGATGGTGGCGGCGGTGGTGATCGGCAGGTTCATGAACCACATGAAGCACCACATGGAGCTGGAGAGGCAGAGCAACGAGAGCTGGGACAGCCACACGAACTGCCAGCACTGCTTTCGCCAGTTCCCCACGCCCTTCCAACTGCAGTGCCACATCGAGAGCGCCCACAGTGCCTGCGACGCCCCCAGTGAGTAACTCACCCTCTCGCACACTCATCCTCTCGCACCCTCTCACTCTCGCCTTCTCGCTCACTATCGCTTCGCTCGCCCTCTTGCTTACTCATCCTTTTCCTCACTCGCCATCCCGCTCATTGGCCCTCTCGCTCACTCACCATCTCGCTCACTCATCCTCTCGCTCACTCATCCTCTCACACACTCTCGCTCACTCGCCTTCTCGCTCACTCTCGCACACTCATCCCACTCGCACACTCTTGCTCACTCACCATCGCTCACTCGCCCTCTTGTTCACTCATCCTCTCGCTCACTCATCCTCTCACACACTCTCGCTCACTCACTCACACTTGCTCACTTGCCTTTTCACTTGCTCGCAATCTTGCTCACTAACCTGCTTGCTCACTCACCCTCTCGCTTACCCGGCTCCTGCTCACTCTCCAGCCTTATTATTTGTTTTGCCTTGTCTCTTTACCACTGCCATGTCTGTTCTTGAAAATGGTCGCAATCGCCAAATCCACGATCCGCAAACTCAAAGGCAAATGGGAAAACCAGTGTTTGGTGAAGGTTCGTGATACGACACCCACCCCTCATTTTGTTTCGTGTTACCCTATATTAACCCTATATATCAAACCATACCTGAAACAGGAAGTATGTTTTGATGTAAATATGATTAATATTTTCTAAAGTGTTAAATATAACTCACAAATGTATAGATTGAAAAAAAAGAACGTAGTGTACAGTAATTTACTGTACATGTAAAAGTGAACATCCAAATAAAGATAAGTTTAATGATGCAGCACTCTTAACTTATGCAAGCCTCTCTGGTAATTTATCCTTCACACTATACTCACTCCCACTTAATTTTCTTTTTGCGGACCATTGCAAAACAAAAACGGCGCTGATAGAGAAAAATCGCGCGGCCAAACCTCACGGCCTCCTCACTTGCCGCTGAGAGAACGTAGCGAACTGGGACCCATGATGGGCTGCACGGGAGACGGGGTGGAAACAAGACGGCATTGTGTGTTCGTTCGCGGCAGCATCGTTGCGAGCGGTGCACTTCCGACGCGTACACGAATCTCACGCTCAACTGTGAATGGCCGAGCCGAGGGCGCACGATCGGCGAACTGTGCTTCGATAAAATTTGGCGCAAATGGTCAAATCCATGATGGGAAAATCCACAATGGTCAAGGTTTTTGCCAGACTTGATTGGTCACATTGTGACTGCTGTGCAGTTGATAAAACTATTAAAAAATTACTATTAAATGTTTTATTTTACCAGGTAAAGCCCACTGAGCTATGGAGCTCTGTTTCAGAAGCGAACTGGCCACAAATGATAGCTTAATGAAGTGGAATATCACATAGAACTTTATAGCAGCCAAATACTCTGAATGCATGTTTCTAAATGTGGAGGGAAAACCAGGAGGACCCGGAGAAAAATCCACACAATCACGGGGAGAGAGACACTCAAACTACAAATATACAGAATCGAACCCACGACCTCCTGTATACCAGGCGAGGTAGTTAACATCTTGCCGCTGTGGCATCCCATCTTGCCACCGTTGGTAGCATCCTTCATCCCGTTCTGTCCCTTCAGCGCTTGCACTCGCTTTGACCGTCACGCCACGGTAAATGTTCATATCAAATGCACGTTAATCAAAAGCCATAGATTATCCTTGGCTCAGGTTGACGCATTTCTGGGGAAGGTGGAAGTCTGAGTGGACGAACCTATGGGTGGGTTTGCGAGCCGTGCTCCATTTGGGATTGTGCCTCTGCCGTCCGCTCCGCAGCAAAGTGCAAGATCTGCGAGCTGAACTTTGACCACGAGCAGATGCTGCTGCAGCACATGAAGGAGAACCACAAGCCCGGCGAGATGCCCTACGTGTGCCAGGTGAGGCCGCGCCATCGTCCCACGGAGGGGGCATCGGCGCCGGTAGTGGCCGTGGTGGGGGTAACGTTGACTGTTTTATTGTGGCACAGGTGAAGAACACCGATTGGGAAATGAATGCATGTGTTCGAGGGGGACCTGGTTACACGATACGAACCTGGTTACAGCTGAAGTCATTGTACAGGCACACCTTGCTAAGCGTGACTCCGTAGGACACCGGTTCATTACAGCGCTTCTTGTCCTGGATACATTTTTTTACTCTAAATGAGAACACGCAGCAGCAGCGCTGGTCTGAGGAATGTACCCACCCCCAACATTAGCTCCGCCAATTAGAGCGACGCACGCTCTCGGCTAATCAGGCCCTATTTCTTTCGATTCGTAGTCACGATTGCATTGTGTGAAAAAAAAAGATGTATTTTTATGTAGCCAGATGAAAAGTCACGAGACCAGGGTAGAGTCTCAGGCTCCATTTATAAGAAAGGTCACCAAACAAATTTAAACTGATGTCATCGCTAAAACCACGGAGTCTTGGAGCTCTTCTCTGAGAACGAACCCGGACTGGGAGCACAAAAGCAGTTACCCCACCGCTGCCTTGTAGTACAGTGGAATTCACTCATCAGTAGAG